TCACAACACTGTCAAGCTTCCTAGACCTCATGTGGGAAATGGGCGCCAAAACGTTTACGAACCTTATCCTTACAATGCCCGAAACCAAAGCATCGCCCCCATCATACGCTCATGGGAACGTCGATTCCCATGCTAAAATTGTACTGCAATCAATCCTGCCGGCTCATGGGAATGGCGATTCCGGCACTAAACTAGCATTTCAATCAATGAAAATCCTGCAGGCTCATTGAAACGTCATTTTCCAAAACTAAACCCCCCCCACCTACTTTCTTTACAAGACTGCCATTGGATGATTGTTGGAGCACCCACCATAAGGCACATCTACACTCTTTTGGTTGTAGCTGGGACCGCTTTTTGGACCAGTTGTGATAGGGCCCAATTTTCAGTTGTAGTGGGGCTTATCTGGTTGTTGTATAGGGCTTCCGGTTGTAGAAAAGGGACTATTTCGCCCCCCCCCCCCCCCCCCCCCACCCGCGCCCAGAAACCGAACTATTGCTGCCGTGGCGTCTGCGCTGAGGAAGGTCCAACACAGCCTGGGCGGGTGCAACCGAAATCCTCGCCCTCAGCTTCGGGTTGAGGGTTTAGGGGTTGGCGTTCAGGGTTTCGGGTTTAGGGCTTAGGGTTTGGGCTGAGGGTTTAGGGTTGAGGGTTTAGGGATGAGGGCTTAGGGTTGAGGGTTGGAGGGCCTGCAAGGGGGGGCTTGGGCTTCGGAGAAGAACGACTTGGCGCCAGGTATGGGCAACGTCTAAAACTCCAGTGGGGGTTTCCGAAATCATGGGTGCCGTATTCTGGGCCCTTATTATAAGGGGGTTTAGGGTTTAGGGTTTAGGGTTTAGGGTTTAGGGTTTAGGGTTTAGGGTTTAATCCTACTATTTGGGGGGTATCTATTCGGGGTCCCTTCTTTTCGTAAACCCCCAGTCGGCTGACTCTAGCTCGGGCTACTTGCAGGGAACGTAATATCCCTGCTTACGACTCTTCTCAAGTATCCCCTGAACCCTGACCATATTCGCACGCAAGTTGAGAACCCTATCCCTAAACCCTAACCCTAAACCCTAAACCCTAAACCCTAAACCGTAAACCCTAAACCCTAAACCCTAAACCCTAAACCCTAAACCCTAACCCTAAACCCTAAACCCGAATGCCCAAAACCAAGCCCAGCCAAGAAACGACGTGCACGGATGCCTCCGACAACCCGGACAGCGTCGCGGCCACAGTGACGATGACGGCCTAGGCGGGCTTGGGGCACGAACCCTAAAGCCTAAACCCTAAACCCAAAACCCCTAGACCCCTAAACCCCTAAACCCCTAAACCCCAAAAACCCCTAAACCCCTAAACCCCGAAACCCCTAAACCCCTAAACCCCGAAACCCCTAAACCCACCCCTAAACCCCTGAACCCTGCAGCTCTCTGGATAGCTGGCCTGCGTCCGCTGGATGATCGCCGTCCGTTCCTGGTTGGCGATAAGTAGGTGTTGGGGCTCAGGGTTCAGGGTTCAGGGTTTAGGGTTCAGGGTTTAGGGTTTAGGGTTTGGGGTTTAGGGTTTAGGGTTTAGGGTTTAGGGTGTAGGGTGTAGGGTGTAGGGTTTAGGGTTTAGGGTTCAGGTTTAGAGTTTAGGGGTCTGGACAAAGTAGGGTTAGATGAGGGAATCAGGTGCCTCAAGGGCTATACAGGAGATGTAACGTGCCGAAATCACCCTCGGACCCTGGGCCCCCCTGCTATGAACCCTAAAACCTCATAAGCCCTCGACCCTCCATCTGCAGACTCAGACAGCCACAGAAGCAACGTCTCAAGGTTTGGGGTTTAGGGTTTAGAGGTTCAAGGTTCAGGGTTCAGGGTTCAGGGTTCAGGGTTTAGGGTTTAGGCTTTAGGGTTTAGGGTTTAGGGTTTAGGGTTTAGTTGTTAGTTGTTTAGGGTTTAGGGTTTAGGGTTTAGGGTTTCTCTGATAACCCCCCCCCCCCCCCCCCCCCCCCCCCCCCCCCCCCAAAAAAAAAAATAATAAATATGTCATATGAAACACAAAACATACTTAAATCATGCCGTCGCGGTCCCCCACTCCAAAAATCCCCCAAAACCTACCCACCAAAGGCATGCCCCAAACCCGAAACCCTCACCCTTAACCCTAAAACCCCAACTTACTTCTTAAGGAATACCCCCCCCCCCCCCCCCCCAAACCCTAAACCCCAACCCTGCCTTAAGCTAGGGGGCTCGTGTGATGCAAGGTACATTTCGTTCAGGGTTTCGGTTCAGCATCTCAAGTCCAAGCATTTCACTAGCTTAGCAGCTCTTCAGGCGCCCGAAAAGCACCCACCCACCCAGAGAACCCCATACCATTCAGATATTTAACAGTTTCGCACGACAACCCTAAACCCCGAGCCTGAAAACCGCTAATGAAACTCTAACAGCCTAAACCCCGAGCCTGAAAACCCCTAAACTCTAAAACCTTAAACCCAAAACACTACGCCCTGAGCCCTAGGCCCTGAACCCCAAAGCTGACCCTTGGAAGCCCAAGCCGAGAACCCTCAACCCTCGCAAAACCTACTCTCTAAAGTTTGCCTTCTTCAGAGTAACATACAATGTTTGAAGGAAGCCTGTGAGTGCTCAGGGTCCCAGTCCACATGTCACAAGGAATCTACTCTAACCGAGACCAGGATCCATAATTGAGATCCTAAACCCTAAGCCCTAAGCCCTAAACCCTAAACAACTAAACCCTAAACCCTAAACCCCAAATCCCAAACCCTAAACCTTAAACCCTAAACCCTAAACCCTGCCAAGGCGCATCCGCATCCACGTCTTCCACGTTTGAGTCACCTTTGCCATCGTCACGCAGCTCCACGCTGAGCCGGAAGGTGGCCGCCGGCACCTGAGTGGCTTTTTCTTGTGGGTTTAGGGTTTAGGGTTCAGGGTTTCGGGTGTAGGGTTTAGGGTTCAGGGTTTAGGGTTTAGTGCTTAGGGCTGAGGGTGTAGGAGTTTTCGGGTTTAGGAGTTTTCTGGTTTAGCGTTTTGGGGGTTTATAAGGTTCAGAGTTGAGTATGAGTTGCTGCCGGCTGGTTCTGAGGTTTAGGGGTCTAACTGGAACCTTTGGGGGGTTACCTTAAACCCTAAACCCTAAACCCTAAACCGTAAGCCCTAAACCCTAAACCCTTAAGGTCTACTCGGGCCACATAGGGACGAAAATGGTGGGAACTATGTCGGCTCGTGGATTTGGATTCTTCCAACATGCTGCACCCCACCGCTCTTTTCAGGGGAAGGAACTGAAAGCATTGGGCCCTCAGCCCTGAACCCTAAACCCTAAACCCTGAACACAAAGCCGGGTCATTCCTTGTTCTTTCGAGCGCAGTTCAACCAACCCCAACCCCTAACCCCCCCCCCGAAGCACCAGCGCCAAACGGGGGGGGGGGGGGGAACATGTCCCCCAAATCCTGAGACCTAAACCCCAAATCGAAAGCACACACCCCCAAACTCTTCACCCCCACTTCTGTTCCACTGTGAGCCTTCGCAAGCCACCCAAACTGCCCGCCTGCGAGGCTTCGGGGTTTCTAGGCCCCCAAGAGGCACCCAGGAATAACGAGGGTGCCCTTTTGTGGCTGGAAGGGGCTTGGCAGAGAACCTAAAACCCAAAACGTGAAACTAAGCTCTACACCCTTAACCCTAAACCCCAAACCCTAAACCCTAAACCCTAAACCCTAAAACCCTAAACCCTAAAACCCTAAACCCTTTGGGCTTAAGGGCCTCAGAGGCGCTACAGCGGAGCTCAAGACGTTTCCGAAGGAGTGGGTGCATGCGCTGAGATTCACCGAGGCCGTCCTCGCCAGTGGGCAGGGTTTGGGGTTTGGGGTTTGAGGTCTAGGGCTTAGGGTTTTGGATTTGGGGCTTAGGGTTCCGTAAGTTAGGGTCCCTGTTTGGGTTCAAATATGATAATTATGGTTGGAGGGGGTGAGGGTACCCCTAAAGGGCCGCCCCAGAGAATCGTCCCTTCTTTTCCAACCCTGAACCCTAAACCCTAAACCCGAAACCGAAACCCTAAACCCGAGACCCGAACCCGAGACCCTAATGGTTGAAGGGTGTGTTGAGTAGCTTCCTTGCATACGAGGGCTTCTACTTGGTAGCTGAGCAATTGACGAAAATGGGTTTAAGGTTTAGGGTATAGGGTATAGGGCTTAGGGGTTAGGGCTTAGGGTTTAGGGTTTAGGGTTTAGGGTTTAGGGTCTAGGGTTTAGGGTTTAGGGTACAGGGTACAGGGTACAGGGTACAGGGTATATGGCTTGGGTTTAGGGTTTGGTTTAGGATTTAGGGTTTAGGGTTTAGGGTTCGGGGTCGAGGGACCCCCAAATAGGATTCCCTTATAATAAGCCCAATAAGGCACCCCTAACATCGCAAGCCCCATCTTCAGATAAGGGTACCCTTTCGCGGGTTCCTTTACTAGACCCAGAGGCAACCGAATAATAAAAAGGGCACCCTTTTTGGTTTTAAGGGGGTTATAAGGGAACTCCAACCCTAAAAAAAAACCCTAAACCCTAAACCCTAAACCCTAAACCCTAAACCCTAAAAAAAAGAAGAGAAAAAAAAAAAGAGCCCACTCCCGGTCCTAGTTTATACGGGAACCATGAAGCAAAATTGGGCTACCAAGTTTCACTGGGTTACCAAGTTGCAGCTTTCAGGGAAAAAGTGTGAGGTTTCAGAGGTTTAAGGTTAGGGGGTCGAAGAACACTCAAATTCCTAAGCTGTAGGGTTTAGAGGTTAGGGTTTAGGGTTAGGGTGCCCCCCCGCCCCAAAAAAAAAAAACTCTGAGAAGCCTGCGAAACACCAAAGACCCCCCGAACCCTAAACCTTAAACCCTAAACCCTGAACCCTGAACCCTGAACCCTGAACCCTGAACCCTGAACCCGAAACAAAAGACCCGAAAAGCCCTGCTCAACTCAACTCTCTCGCCGCATCTTGTGGCCGAGGCGCTGGAAAGTCGTCGCGCCTCGGTTGCCGGAGCCCGTCTCGCCCCCTCCCTCT